AAAAAAAAAGAATGATGATGGTGGTGGCAGTGGTAATACCTGTCAACCCAGAATCCCATAAAACCCATATCCTATGAAAATATGCTCCAAGAATGAGAGGGAAAACACAATTTAAGATAAATGAAAACTAAGAGAATGGATTGCCAGTAGGCCTTACGCTACAAGAAAAGCCGAACAAAGGTCTCAGGCTAGAGGCAAAATGATCCCAGATGAAGTCACAGATCTTCAGAAAGTAATAAGGAGCATGGAAAGCGAAAATATGTAGGTAAATATAAAATACTGCTTTTTCCTCCTCACTTCTTTAAAATATAGGAGCATTTAAAATAAAAACCATGTTTTGGGGTCTGTAACATGTAGATATAATGCATATGACAACTATAAAGTACAAGGTGAGGAAAATGAGCCTGCATAATTACAAAGTTTGTACATTTTAAATGAATTGGTACACCAAGAACTTTATGTAGACTGTGAAAAGCTACTAATTTCCACTTTTTGGCATTTGTTATTTGGGGCATCTCATGCATTTAACCCAAACTCCCAGGTAACTAATACCTTATTAGGAGCCTTATGTGTTAAATTCTCAGAAGACACCCAACACTCTGGACTTCACTGGTTTGTACAAGAATTTCCACTCTGGCTAAAAATTATTTAAAATTTGTGTACCTGGGGCGCCTGGGTGGCTCAGTGAGTAAAACATCTACCTTTAGCTCAGGTCATGATCCCAGGGTCTTGGGATCGAGGCCCCATGGGCTCCACTCTCAGCAGGGAGTCTGCTTCTCCCTCTCCCTCTGCCCCTTCCCCTGCTCGTGTGCACTCTCTCTCTCTCAAATAAATAAATAAGATCTTTTTTAAAAAGTTGTGTACCTGTAATTTATCTCTGACTCTGACCCAAATAAGAGGTAAAACCAACCATCAGTTTTTAAAAGCCACTTGAGAAAGTTAACCAATCTGACCCTTGACACTTATTCTTCTAGTTAGGCCTTGTTTGCCTAAAGCATTGAATACAAAATATGCTCCACCTGTTTCTCACAATACTTGTGATTGTTCTCAGACAAAACTTTTTGCACTTTTTTTTAAACTTTTTTTTTTTTTTTAAGATTTTATTTATTTATTTGACAGAGAGAGAGAAAACGAGGGCAGGAACACAAGCAGAGGGAGTGGGAGAGGGAGAAGCAGGCCTCCCACCAAGCAGAGAACCCGATGCAGGGCTCGATCTCAGGACCCTGGGATCATGACCTGAGCTGAAGGCAGATGCTTAATGACTGAGCCACCCAGGCGCCCCCTTTTTGCACTTTTTGATACTCGGGTGCTTAGATATCGCCACAGAACCATTATCCTGAACAGGCATCCAACAAATCACATTGCGTCAACAAAAGACCAAAGCCTCATGGTCAAATGGGGTATTTTAAGAGCTTGTGGGATTTTCTTTTGGGGGGGGTGGTGTTGAGAAATTCTAATGAGGGAAATGGTGCACACCTGGGTGAGCTGAGCACGTTCTACCAGGATAATGGCAGACATCATGTAACCTGTCACCTACGTCCACCACATGATTCTCAAGATTTTCTCAGATTCCATAAACAAGGGCAATTGTTTTCTCTGATATCTCTAGAAGACCTACTCAGGGACAGAACAACCAGACCTATCGCTCTGCTGATGAATTTACCTTGCAAAATGTGTAAAATAGATTCACTTTTGCTAAACCATTTGGTATGTTCATCCTTTCTCTTTTTCTCTCATAAATATTTATCTGTTTATTCATCCAGCTTTATTGAAGTATAATTAACAAATAAAAATTGTGTATATTTAAGGTGTACAATGTGGTTTCATATATGTATACATTGTGACATGATTACCACAATCAAGTTAATTAACACATCCATCACCTGCTGTAGTAACCTTTTGTGTGTGTGTTGTGAGAACACTTGAGGTGTAATCTCTTAGCAAATTTTAAGCATACAATACACTATTATTAACTATAGTGACTGGGCTATACATTAGATCCCTAGAACTTATTCATCTTATAATCAGAAGTTTGTACCCTTTGACCAGTCTCTCCATTTCCCCCACCCCACAGCCCCAGCAACCACCACTCTGCTCTTGTGAATATGACTTTTTCAGATTTCACATATAAGTGCGATCATACAGTCTTTCTGTATCCCTGATCTTTCTGTATATATTGTGTATATCCTAACAGATATGCACAGATGTATTTTATTTCAGTGTCATTTCAAATCAGTGGGGAATGAAATGATTATTCAGTAAACATCATTGAAAAAAGCTAGCTAATATATAATATCTCTGTACTTTCGATCATTCACAAAAATGTTTTTGAAACCCTAAACTATAAACATATTGAAAGAAAATATAGAATGTGTTTAAAACTCTGGAATACAGAAACAGAATGCAAATGTCATAAAGATTAAAACATTATTTTTAAAGATTTTATTTATTTATTTGACAGAGAGAGACACAGCGAGAGAGGGAACACAAGCAGGGGGAAGGGGAGAGGGAGAAGCAGGCTTCCGGGGAGCGGGGAGCCCCATGTGGGGCTCGATCCCAGGACCCTGGGATCATGACCTGAGCCGAAGGCAGACGCTTAACGACTGAGCCACCCAGGCACCCAGATTAAAACATTTAAATGTAAATGCTATTCAAAGGGGGTTTTATTTTTATAATTTGTCCTATGGAATGATTTTGAGTCATACATTCAACTAGGCAATAAATTTGGGTAAAATTTACAAAATAGAGTGTGTGAATGAGAGAGAAAGAAAGAGCATATATGTGTTTGAAGAGAGTTTGGGGCATTAAGAGCAGGGGTACCAGGTATGGAGTCAGGCTGCTAGCAGTATTCCTTTCTGGTGGGAGCACGTAAGGAAGGTGGGAGATAGAGCTGAAAAGTTGAGTGTCACTGCAGATACAGAGCTCATGGCTGGAGAATAATAGAGAACACGCCTGACCCCACTCTGTGGGGCCTGGCTCCTTGCCCCCCACAGCTGAGCATTCCCTCCCAGCCTCCCCAGCCATCTCCCATGCCCCGCCCCGCTTTAGCCTCTCTGTCCCAGCCCAATCTCCTAGGCCCTCCGCAAACAAGGGCCTTTTTGCCAGGACAGTTTGTTAGCCTGCGAGCTCCACCCTCTTCCTTCTTCGGACAACTTCCGTCTGCCTACAAGCCCCACTTGTCTGGGCTGGGTTACAGCTTCCTTGCCTCCTCCAGAAGGAATGAGTCACCCTTGGCACTTTGATCTGCGTTTTTCAATGCACTTATCACACTCATAGTAATTATCTGTTTTACTATCTCTTGCCCCATTAGATTGAACTCCCTGGGGCCACGCATTGTGGCTCACGCTCATTTCTGCAGCCCCATCCCCCCCACAGGTCCGACACAGTGGGTACTGAACAAAGTCCCCAAAGAATAGGCTGGTCTCCTGGTGTCTATTCGTTCCTCTCCTCATCCTCTCCTCCATACGGGCCTGATTCTCACCCAAAAGCAAGGTTCGGGTTATATCACCCCAATTCAAAATCCTTTCCTGGCTGACATTCACCAGGGAAATTCTTTTTTTTTTTTTTTTAAAGATTTCATTTATTTATTTATTTGAGAGAGAGAGAGAGAGAAACAGCACGAGAGGGGAGAGGGTCAAGGGAGAAGCAGGCTCCCCGCTGAGTCGGGAGCCCGATGTGGGACTCGATCCCAGGACTCCAGGACCATGACCTGAGCCGAAGGCAGTCGCTTAACCAACTGAGCCACCAAGGCGCCCTTTTTTTTTTAAAGATTTTTATTTATTTATTTGAGAGAGAGAGAGAGAGAAACAGCACGAGAGGGGAGAGGGTCAGAGGAGAAGCAGGCTCCCCGCTGAGTCGGGAGCCCGATGTGGGACTCGATCCCAGGACTCCAGGACCATGATCTGAGCCGAAGGCAGTCGCTTAACCAACTGAGCCACCCAGGCACCCCACCAGGGAAATTCTTTTGAGTGTTGGTATTCAAGGCCTTGCATGGGTGCAGCGAAGGCTGTTGGGACAATTAGAGAAAGGTCAGGTGAGAGTCACAGTCAGGGTCAGGGTTAGGCAAGCTGACCTTAAGTAAACTGACAGCCCAGGGTAGCACATAATTTCCTCCCTCCCTTTCTCAAATATGCACTGAGCACCATGGTCAGGACCTGCATGAGGCCTCAATAAAGAGGAGGCTGATTCCGTCCCTATGCTGGTCCAAAAAAGTCCTGGGCCTTATTTTCTTGAATGTCTACCCTGGCCATTGTCTGACTCAAGTGGTGTGTGGGGGAATGGTTAACAACAGCTCTGGGGGGAGTGGGGTGGGGGTGTGGTGATTTCTAGAGTCTGCCAATTTTTATTATGAAAATTGATAAAAAAGGAAACCTCCTTTAGAATGCCGTCAGGACGCCAGCAGGAGGCACTCTCAGCCCTGTCTTTCAGGAACAGCCGAGCCAACAGGGAGTCACACCTAGCGGGTGGACGCTACTTTACGAGCCCCCCCGCCCCCCCCTCCCCGCAGGAGGAAGGTTTTCTCCTGCCCTGGCAACAGCCCAGCCAATGAGAGACTGTCACAGCCCAGCCAATGAGAAGCCCCCATATTTAGAACGCCCGGTTTACTCCAATGGACTTTTAGTTTACAACAGCCCTCCCAACTGCCCACTTCGGGTTGTTCCCCGACCAGCCCATCCTTGAAGCTTGCGGTGTGAACGTTCGCCTCCCGGCTGGTCGCTAAATATGGGGTTGGAAGTAAATGTCCCCAAGCACACGGTGCGGACATAATACACACAATAAATCTCTAGAACATAGGGCATAGTAAAAAGTAGCACAATAATTAGGAAGAGAGGTTTTTATTTGCTTTGTTTTAACGTAACTTATTTAGTTGTAGGTCTACAGAATGTTTTTAAATAATGGCTTTTAAAGATCATGCACATTTGACAGCCAGCATGCAAAATTCTGAAAGTTTACCCGGGGGCTCTAGGGACTCAGCACTAACCGGTGCCAGCACGCCCTCGGCTGCGCTCCCTACTTCTTGAACCGGGGCAGGTAAGAGCTGGGGGGTCTCCTGTCCCAGCGGAGGCACGCGGCCGCCGGGCAGAGGCCTCAGCTCCGAGTCCGGGGGGGGCCCCCTCCCTCCCTCCCTCCCTCCAACTCCGGCCCGGGTCCCCTTGCTCTCTGCCCGCCGCTCCCCGTGTAGCGGCCCCGCGCGCACACCCCCCCACACCCAGCAGCCTCTGCGGCCGGAAGTAGGCCGGCCGCCTTCCCGGCACCCCCCGCGCGGTGGCCGCACTTCCGCCGGCTGGGGAGCCGGTCAGAGTGCGCGTCATCCGTCGCTAGGAGTCCATTAGTTACCGCGGAGTCGCCTCGTGTTTTCCCGCGTTCTGAGTCCGGCTGGATTAGTGCGGAGGGACGAGCGACGAGAGCTTCCCCCTGAGTCACCCTGAGGCAGCGGCGCCCAGGGGATGAGGCAAGGAGGCTGCCGGTGCGGGCTCGGGCGCGGATGAGGGCAGGGCCCGCGGGCGGGAAGGCCGGGGCCAGGGGGTTGCCTTCTTCTCCCGGGGCGAAGGCCCGTTCGCGTGACCGTGGGCAAGGCACTGCACCCTGCTGGACCTCGCTTTCTGCAGCAGACGCCGCTTTTCTTCCTTGCTGGCACGCAGTGGTCCCCGCTGCAGAGACGTTCGCGCCAGCGCGGCTGCCACCGAGTCAGCTGCTGACAACAGCGTCGAAACAACCTGTTGCTTGTCTTGTTCAGGAAAAGAGTTGAGTCGAGAGGAGGTGGGAGGGCACAGCTGAGGTATTGAGGTTTGGGACCAGTTTCAGGAGGGCTTTTGGATGCAGGATTTAATTAGGATTGGGTAAGTCTCGGGCTACATAGTTGAGGATTGTTAGGCACAATAGTTAAGGATTTGTGGTCCCAGTGAGGTGAGGGTTTCAGTCTTGGAGCTTCAACTGTTTTTTAATGCCACCTGTTGAAAGTTGTGCGTGTTTTTTTTTTTTAAAGTTTTATTTATTTGAGAGAGAGAGCACGAGCCGGGGGCGGGGGGGTGGGGCAGAGGGAGAGAGAAGCAGAAACAGACTACCTACTGAGCGGGGAGCCCCACGCAGGGCTCGATCCCAGGATCCTGAGATCATGACCTGAGCCGAAAGCAGAGGCTTAACCGACTGAGCCACCCAGGCGCCCCGAAAGTTGTGCGGTTTTAAATGCATTTTTGTAAAGTGGGAGAGTCAGGTTATTTGCACCTTTTGTTTCCCTGGACAGGTGTTACTGGCATGGTAAAGTCCCAATAATAGTCACGTTATTTTGCCTCATTGGATGTGAGTCACGGTCCTTGGTTATTTGCACCCAGAGGAATCTGTATAGGGTTTGCTTGTCTGTAGAATGGGGATCGTATTGCAGGGGAAGGGGGAGGAGCTGGGCATGCCCTTAGAAGACCAGGGTTTCAGCCTGTGCTAGCCTTTCAGTATTGCAGCACCATGGGACTCATAAAAATGGCAGAGTCCTGAAAAACAATTCTTATTCTCAAATAGGAAAAGAGAGCTGCCAAATTGAAATGAATAGATCCTTTTTTTTTTTTTTAAAGATTTTATTTATTTATTTGACAGGGAGAGACACAGCGAGAGAGGGAACACAAGCAAGGGGAGTGGGAGAGGCAGAAGCAGGCTCCCCGCAGAGCAGGGAGCCCGATGTGGGACTCAATCCCAGGACCCTGGGATCATGACCTGAGCCGAAGGCAGTCACTTAACCGATTGAGCCACCCAGGCGCCCTGAAATGAATAGATCCTTAATAATATCTTGAAAGTGTTACTGTTCACCAGCCAGCTGCAACTCAAAGCCTATAGTTACCCGTCCGTTGCATTTACTCTGTAGAGAGAGGTGCCTGTGCATGTGATTGATGCCATATGGTCAGGGCTTAAGATCTTAAAATGGCCCCACAGCATTTGACTCCTGGCCTTGTACTTCCCTGCTGCTCCCCTCTCTGGGCTCGTTTCCTCATCAGTACAGTGGGGAAGACGATGCTTTGAGCAGAGCCAGGAGGAAGTGAGGCCATGTGTTGAGTATGGTAGCCAGCTGTTGTTGGAACTGAAATCCACTTGATCCTGGAGCAGTGTCAGCCATCACGGTGGGGCTGCTCTGCATACTGTGGGTCTAGAACAGACTGAGTGCCCAGAGTTAGCAAGTTGGGAAGGACTCCGAGGGTTAACCAGGTTGGGAGACAGCAGGAGAAATGGATGGGATATTAACCACTCTACCAGCTCAGTCTAGTTTCCTCCCTTTCCTGCACTGCTCCCCACCCCTGCTCCCCAGGACAGGTGCAGGGGCAACGGTTAAACATATTCAATAACTAGTTCCAAACAATCAGAACAGGCTTGCTGGAGAGGTTTGGAGGCCCCCTGCCTCAACAAGCATTAACTTTTTTTTTTAAGATTTATTTATTTATTTATTTATTTGAGAGAGAGAGAGCAGGGGGAGGGACAGAGGGAAAGAGTGTCCCTCAAGTAGACTCCCCGCTGAGCAGGGAGCTTGACATGGGTCTCATGGGGCTCTATCCCAGGACCCTGAGATCATGACCTGAGCAGAAATCAGGTCAGGAGTTGGCTGTGCAACTGACTGAGCCACCCAGACGCCCCCAGGCATAAACTTTCCAGTTGCTAGAGTTTGGGAAGGTCTATGGGAGGGCTGGAGCAGCTGGCCATTTAGGGGCAACTGGGGCCTTAGGGAAGTGGCTCTTTACCAATCCGTAGTTGATATTCAGTTTGGGCCCTATCAGCGTCCTGGCTGAAAATCTGCCTGCTTAGGGAAGTGTGGAGCTCCACTCCAGGCCCTGACGCCTGAACGCCAGTGAAGCCTCGGCTTCCGGGGGATGCTCCTGGACATTTGAGCGGCACCCTCATGGAACTTTGCTAGGTTTGCAGGCCCGCCCATCTTAGACTTGGTGAAATCTTTACCCTTTCCTGTTCCTAGCTGACACATTTCCTGTCTCCTCTCTCTCTCCATACCAGTACTCCCCTCTTTCACAACACCTTGCTGGTGAATTCAGCCTTGACATCACATCATTAGCAACTGGAGAGCTAGTTCTTTCCTTAAGGGCAAGGAAGACTGAGCCTTCAAACCCTGCCAGGATATGAGGGAAAATATTTGCATTCTATTTTTCCATGGTAAAGAAAGGGGAAAAAAAGAAATCACTACACAACTCTAGAAAAGTGTTTTTAGAAAAGAGAGTAGTTTGACAATACATATCAAATAAGTTTATAACCTAGTGATTTCCCTACTAGGAACATAACTTGAGGAACTAATCAGATGTTTTTTAAGGATTTATGAACAAGGTTGTTTACTGAAGTATTATATACGACAGTAAAAAGAATGTCCAGTATCAGAGGACACAGCCTTGGGTAAGTTATACAGTGGAATATTACATGGCATTAACAGTCGTGTTATGAATGAATAGTTTACTGACATGGGATACCAAAATATGTTAAATTTTAAAAGCAGATTAATAGGGGTGCCTGGGTGGCTCAGTTGGTTAAGCGACTGCCTTCGGCTCAGGTCATGATCCTGGAGTCCCGGGATCGAGTCC